TGCTGGAAATAGTTTTCCCTTTCTCAGTCCTTGGAGGAGCTGCTCCAAGTGACCACAAAGATTCCAAAAATAGAGTTTTCCCTTTCCTTTTCCCCAGAGGAGCTGCTCCAAGTGACCACAAGGATGCTGGAAATCGAGTTTTCCCTTCCTCCATTCCCTGGAGATGCTCCAAGTGACCACAGAGATGCTGGAAATAGAGTTTTCCCTTTTCCCATTCCCTGGAGATGCTCCAAGTGACCACAGAGATTCCAAAAATAGAGTTTTCCCTTCCTCCATTCCCTGGAGATGCTCCAGGTGACCACAAGGATGCTGGAAATAGAGTTTTCCCTTTCTCCATTCCCTGGAGGAGCTGCTCCAAGCGACCACAAGGATGCCAGGGATACTTTTCCCTTTCTAATTCCTATGCACAGAGACAGCCATCCCAGATTATTTCTGGAGGCTGGATGAGGCTCTCCCAGCTCCAGGGCAGCATCCAATCCCTACACCCACCCCTAGCCAGGATTTCCTGGAATCACGGGATGGTTTGGGTTGGAAGGGACCATAAAGCCCATCCAGCTCCAGCCATGGGCAGGGATACCTTCTGCTATCCCAGCTTGCTCCAGCCTGGCCTCGGACACTTCCAGGGACGTTCCCGGTGTTTTCCCGGTGTCCCGGTTGCGATTCTGTGTGTTTTCCATCCCTCTCCAGCGCGATGCAGCCGCCCCAAGGCCGTGGCCAACGCCCACATCGAGGTGGGGAACAACACGGGGCTCCACTCCCTGCTGCGCTATTCCTGCGACCCGGGATACAAGCGGAAAGCCGGGACTTCCAACCTCATCCAGTGCGTCCTCCGGGATGGATCCGCCCGGCCCGGCTGGACCGACCCCACGCTCCAGTGCATCCGTGAGCTCCCTGTGGGAATCAGGAACTGGGGAGTGGGAATTCCGCTGCCGAGGGATGCGGGGAGGGGTTGTATTCCCCGTTCAGCGTTTCGGGAGGAGATTTAACCCCTGGAATAAGTAACGGATGACGGACGTGCTCCGGGGGTTGGGAAAGCAAATCCAAAGGTTAGGGCTCGCCGGATTCGGCACTCCCGGAGCCGGGGGGAAAAAAGATAGGAAAAAAGATCCATCTGGGGAAAAAAAAGATGGTAAAAGGACTGAAAACGGGGATTAACTGGAATTAATTAATTAGAACTAATTAGAGTGAGAATTAATAACGAATAGAGGATGGAATATTAATTCATGAACTGACGGACCAACCAACACTAATTCCCAAAAAGGGTTAAAAGTTTGGATAACTGAGGGATGTTTTTGTGGAGTGACCCCCCCCAGTCCCTTGTATTGGATGATGTCCCTTTCCCATTCCAACAAACTGGACTTGGAGGGTTTATTCCCTGATTTCTGGTGGTGTTTTCCCACAGGAGACCCGTCGGCTCCTCCTCCACAAACCCCCGTCCCCGCGATCCCGACGGAGCCGCGCACGGAGAGCACCACCCGG